TTTAATGTATCGGTAATAAAAGGGTTAAATTTCAATTAAAACAAAAACACTAGGATATAGTACACTACATATATGTGATCGAACAATATGCTTCTAATAATACGTTTGCAGTTAATTTTCAGAAGAAGAAGAAGAAGAAAGTGTACTTTATTGGTCCCCGTGGGGAAAATCGCTCTCTGCATTTAACCCATTCATCATTCAAATTAAAGTATTATATTATATTGGCTAAATGTATCAGCACTCTCACAGCAAAGTGACTGCAGTCCCTGCTTTATCGGTTAAGTTATTTGGATAACATTTCCAGAGGTAATACGGTTTATGTCCATGTAGAATTCTATACCCCTGAATTCTGCCCCCTGCTGGCCATTAGAATTATGCCACTTGCATATTTTAGACTTGAAAGCAATTTTTATCTTTCCTATACACGTGTTTCCTCCCCCGATTTTGCCTATGTATAAAAATCAAAGCTGGACAGAAACATAATACAACGGCCAAGTAATTAAAGCCAAGTCAGTTTTATTTTACTTGCGTCATACGACGACAGACGTTTCAGATGGCTTTGTTCTAAATGACATGATCGACATTGGAGTTGACAGTGATTGTTGGAGTGCTGGCAGGCGTTTTCTACTTCACACAATGCTACCGTTGAAAGCTTAAACACCGGAGCCCAGCGGACCCAGGGCTGCCTCGAGTCGAGGTCAACGAGGACCCGTTCAGATGGGTGTGCCTCCTAAAACACACATTAATCAAGAAGTATAACATCACTGCCAAGACATCTGATTGGCTGATGAAGTCGCAAAGGAAGAGAAGAGCTAAAAATAGACCTGAGAGCCCATTTTGGCTTAATGAGCCCAAGAGACATCAGGATCAGGTCCCACCCCTGCCTTCACCATGATGGGGGGAGAATAGTTAAATAGTTCTGGCATAAGCCCTGCCTTTACCAGGCTTCTGTGTGCATTTCACCAACAGCATTTAACACATGCAGAGCTTTAGATTTACATTACGCACACACAGAAACGACAGGCTGTTATTCATGCTAAAAGTAGCGATGAAGTGTAAACAAAGTTCTGAATCCCACTGAGGCCTAATCGAATCCAGCTGTGGTGGATGTGTTAAAGCTACAATTTTACCCTCACCATCAAAATGGTCCTTTAAGACTAGAAAGCTATATTTAGACTTTATACAGCAGTTGGGGCACGCTTCGAGTGGCTAGCCCTAAAACCACAAGAGAGAAGAACCAGAATCTTTCTGCTCCAACTGCCCAAGAGCCTATATCATCTTAGCCTCTCTTTCAAGCACAATAACCAGCTACGTGCATGCCAGTAAGCAAGTCAGATTTTAAAACTAAAGCTCTGCATAGCCGTGCTAGGTCTATCTGCGGGAGGGGGGGGAACAAAAAAACAAACTGGGAACATTTACTTTTTTCTTTTAAAGAGCAAAGTCTGTTAAGTCCAGTGTTCTGCAAACACCAGGGGAAACAGAAGAAGAGGAAAAACTTTCCCCTGTCCCCTTATGCTGGAACACTGTGTCCAAACAAAACAAACAGTGTTGCACAGCCAAAGGGGCACACAACAGGATGAGAGGAGAAGCTGGGCAAGCATGACTGACGAGCTACCTTTTGGCTGTATTCCATTTTATTTCAACCAGTTCTAACCTACCCTCCAAACAAAACCCATAACCTCCAAAGTCTAGCACTCCGCTTCTCTGTTCAGCTATAGGAGGCTGGCTATGAGCCATCGACATCCCCTTGTCTGCAACTCCGTGTCTCCCCCCCTCCTCTTGCCCTCCCACAATTCAAGATACAGTGTGTGTCTGACTACAGCAGAATATCTGCCTGTTACAGCAGCAGTGTCCTCAAAAGTCTCCCCCAAACCGCAGCACAATAACAGAGAGCGAGTGGGCAGGAGAGGAAACGGGAGGAGGGATCAGATGGAGAAGTTGAAGTTTAACTTAAAGACTGCTAGAAATTATACTCTCAACAGCAAGAAACAACAAGAACAAAAGGGGAATGAAAGGTCAAGAGTCGACACGTAAAATATACCTATAGAAGAAGCAGTCACAGCACACCAGCACCCCCATCCAGCAGTCGATCAAGCAGAGCCAAGGTGACGATGCTCCAAACCACAGCACCCTATATACCGTTTCACCTCCCCGTTTTTGCTCCCGTTTGAAACTCTGCTACAGGTGCACCAGGAAAACTGCTCCCAGCTCCAACGTAGCACTGAGTGTAATCATATGTCTGCTGCAAACACCTTCGACTTCAACGCAGGTCACGCACGAAGCTGGCCGGACGGGCAGAGAAAAACACCTCAAAACAAACAACCATTCACAAAACTAGACGCACTTCTCTGAGCAGGTTTCTCTTTCTCGCTCCTTTCCAACTACTGCAACTGCCTGCTTCACTTTCACACTCTTGCGCTCCCTCTCTCTCCCTCTCTCCCTCCCTCCCTCCCACTTGCTGGCTCACACTTGAAAGGCGGGAAGATTAGCTTGGCAAACAGAGTCCCATAAACAAACTGCTGACTGCTGGGCAGTACATGGTGGACTGCAGGGTAGAGCGAAAAGGAGGGACATTGGGGGGCAGGGGAGCGGGGGGTGAAAATCCCTGGGAGGCAGTAATCTTGACATCTGTATACATCCTAAACAAGGGCTAAACATCCCATCTCCACCCATCGCAGACCAAACACACAATGTTTACTAAATCGAAGTCTGAGTCAAATCCTGTCCAACCTCTGCAGAAAGTCGAGGAGTTCAGGAAGCTGACAGACTCGCAGTTTTGCACCGTCATCGTAACTGCAGAAAGGTGATTGCCAGCTCTTGCATTAATATCGAGAAAGGACTGAACACGGGAATGAACACGCAGCACAAGGTTATACAGCGTTTTGAGCACATATAAGTGCCTGTGACTGTTCATTCATATAAATGATGCATAGGTACGGTAAGGGAGGGGATAGCGCAGAGACAAGCCTCCAGGAAGTGAGCCAATCACTGCAGAGTACTCTAGTTATGATGCGGGCAAATAAGGAGAAGGACACAAATAAAAACATTCAGCTTCTTTTGCTCCCCATCATTCACTTCCTCGCTGCTCAAAACACACATAAGCACTTTAAGGGACTGCAGAGAACAGATCAATGTCTGCTGCTTAAATCGAAGGCTTCAGACACTGCCGGACACACCAGACAAACACAGGATTAACTGAGCATAACGAAGGCAGCCTATGCCAGTGAATACTGACGCTTCAATGTCAAAGAGACCGAATCCACTCTGCTGTTTAGTGAAAACAAATCACTGCAGCCTGCCAAGAAAAAGACTGAGATAGCAGAGCCAGGAGACAGTCACCTTCAGAAGATGGCAGTTATGTAACCGCAGCGAGGGGGGGGCTTTGCTCTTTTTCTGCCGTTGAGTTCTCAAAGAAGCTCTGAACTGTGAGATGAATGTGGAAAACAAACAAACAAACAAGCCAGCAGTGATTGTAGACTCTCTCGCCTAACCTATTCTTACCCTGCTGCGCACAAGTTTTTGAGATGCAAGATGACAAAGAAGCACCGCAGCAGCAATGACGTCAGCTCTCCTCCTCCTCATCTTCTTCCTTCTGCTCCCTGGAGAAGTGCTAACAGGAGCTTCAGCTTTAAGGCCTCCTCTGTCATAGCTTAATTATTCCTCTCTCTCTCACCTGCATCCACACAGATGTGAAAGTATATGTGGAGCATGACTACATCACACACACACTTCCTAAGTGAAAAAAAAGAAAGAGGTGGAGCGCGTATGCAGTGATAATATCACTCGCATTTTCAACCGCGTGATGAAATGAGTGTTGGCACTCGTTAGCTCCCTTTGTTTCCAAGCACCTGAGAGTCAGGATGTGGTGGGTGTGTGTGTGTGTGTGTGTGTGTGTGTGTGTGTGTGTGTGTGTAAAAAGCACAGCGGAAAGCCCTACATCTTATAACAAGCCAAAGGGGAAAAGGAGTGCCAAGGGGAAAGGGGAAGAAATGAAACTGCCATTAAATCAACTGTCACTTTCAACAATGTGACCAGCTTCTTGTGGGTCTCCATCTGCGTGTGTTTTTGCCAAATAAGTCAAGCCAACCATAAAATCAAGACATCCGGAGTAACGGTTGCACGGGCTGTGCATGACTCATTTGGAGGAAAGCAGAAAAAACTTTTTTGTACAAACGTGTGACTTGGACTGATAACGATGAGGAGAGAGAAAGAGAAAGTGAACCGATGAGCAGTGGAAAGACCTGACTCGTGATTGGTTTTGAAACACTGGTATATGAATGAAGGCTGTTGCAACCATGCAAAGGCAAGGTCGGTTGGGGAGGGGGGGGGGCAGAGGTACATCATTCATGCCGCTACATACAAAGTTGCTAGGTGATGTAACCTCAAGAAAGGGTATTCCTGGGAAGGGGAAAGCGAGGGGAGGATAAAGAAGGGAGAGAGGGACAAAACACAGTTTCCCTAAGTGAGAAGAGGGAAAACAAAACAAAGAGCCCAACCCCTAAAAAAGCGAGACCAACAGGTTTTTCTCCCCATCCAGCTACAGAAACTTGAATTACACATGGGTACCACGCTGGTGAAAGGGCACCAACGGTTAAACGAGCTGACACACTAAAGGATTTAACAGCCGTCTGATCAACCAATGCTTTTAAGGTAATCAACTCTGAGGCTGTCATTAAAATGGCAAACTCACTCAAATTGTGTAAGTGCATTATAAATAAATACAAAGTTTCCTCTAATGTCCACGCCAGCAGAGACCAAGCCTTCAAAGACTCAAGCTGCAGCTAATACCACAGCAATAGCGCCGATGTTGCAGTAGAAAAGTAGCCAAACTCTCCGTTAGCAACATGAAGCGTTGCTCTAGAATATTGCAGAGATGCCATAAAGAGACCTCGGAGCACTACGAGAGAACGTGAACTGATTTAGGAGCTCAGGATATGACAACACGTCTCCCCCCGCGCTCCATACAGACACACGCTGGCAGCACTGCTCCGCACTCTTACCTATTTAACGTATAGGACCCGTTCCTTTTGAATCTCATCCTGGATGACAGGAAGCGGATAAAGAAATCCAGAATTGATGGTGTTTCTTTCTTATTGTCGCACCTCGAAACAAACGAACCGCGCCGCGTCTCCCTCCGGACCGCTGCAGAACAAACAAACGCCTTTTTCTCGTTTTTTTGTTGCAGACCTCTCCCTCTCTCTCTCACTCCTCCACAACTGTTTCTTTCTACCGTTTCTCTCCCCAGTCCTCCACCCTGTCGCCTCCTTCTTTTCTTCCTCCTCCTACTCCTTTGGTTCCCGACTCGATTTAGTTTCCGTGCATGGGGCAGGGTTAACGAGTCTTCATGCTGCAGGAGTTGCGATTAGAACAAAGCCAGACCTCGTACCGGTGACATGTGGTCGGTGTAAGTTGGAAAAAATCTAGTGATATTAACACGAAGTCTGGTTGAGACTGCTCGGCTTTGTGTCCACAGCCTCGCTGACGCAAACCACCGCGCTTTACTCCAAAAGAGAGGAAAGCAATGTAACTTGAATCCTTTCAATATTACCACATCTACATCCCTTCCTCAGGCTCCACTCGGCGGCATAAAACCGACATAAAAGTGACCCCTAAACACAATAAAACATTAAAAAACCAAAAAAGGTCCCTTTATGGAGAATGATGATCGAAGCGAGTCCGTTTTCTTCTCTCCACACAGGGTCCCGCGGAGGATCTCATGTTTCAACCGCGTTTCCTATCAGCGGAGCTAAAAATACGCATTTATATTCCTCCATATAGGCTGAACGCAAACCAGACGCCACCACCCCAACACGGATCTTGTCAGCGCCTGAAGGGTGAGACAGATTTGACGCTAAGAATAGGGCTGAGGATCCATTAATGCCATTTAAATCCAAAGTAGTCCTTCCAGGTGTATCTGTGGCTTTCTAACGCGCATATAGTCACTTTACATTAAACTCCAGGAGCACTATTCGGCTCTTTTGTTACTGGCATATAAACACTGGATTAAGATTTTAACAGGATGTGGTTTAATAAAGAAAAACTACGGTAATCACAGCTGATTACATGGTTGGTTTGTAATGATAAAAAGGGGGTGGGTGGGTATGCCTATTAATCCCCATCTACTATACCAAGGAACTCTTGACCGTGCATTAGGTACAGATGAGCACAATGATCAATCCTGACTTGCTAGTGAGTAATAGCCACATTTTTTCCCAGCACCTTCCTTAGAAATGATAATGAAATGAGTTGGAGGATAATTTAAGCGGACATAAAGGTGAGACTGGATCCCCTCGAGCTAGGCCCATGTGTGTCGGTTTCCATCCGGGGGGAGAGAAGAAAAAAAAAAAAAAAAGCTCTTTCACCTGGCAGATAATCTTCACACCACCTGATAATCTGTGTACACCGACTACAACCAAAGATAAAGCAAAGCTGTTTTGTCAAGCTTGGCTTTTTAATGGATTTGTTAAAACAAAAAAAACAAAACTGTTTGGAGGAGTTGGAGAGGAGAAAAGAGGGCAAGAACGGAGCTAAAATTTGGTAGACAGCCAGACCACAGAAAGCAAAGAGGAGATGTGGTTTTCTTATACGGCTGAGTAAGCTTTGAGAAGGGGAAGATGACATGCAATGAAGGCTCAAAATCCAGGACAGCATTGTGTGTTGCAGTAACGGCAAATTAGGGTTTTAGAAATGTTACATTTGCTCTAAATTCTCCAACAGCAGCTTAATTACAGGGAAAGCCCAGCTAATCTAGGAGGATATGGTTTAAAGAATCCTGAGTTACTTGGTTAATAATTTCTCTAATAGCAAAATAAAAGATCTCATTACGTTTTGCGCACGTGTCCTGATGGGTTAGAAGCACAAAATAATGAATCCAGGCACGCGGTTTAGTTTAAAAGTAATCCAACTTATTCCGCATTACATCATATATAAGTGCAAAAGTGCAGTGTGGCATTTGTGTGTGTGTTTCCTCTGCTGCCGCAAAATACTCGGGACTGGTTTCATAGCTCCAAGTCGTTTATTACAATAAGAGCAGCTTGGCACCAAAAGTGCTGATCAATGGCACTGCTGTAGCTGCTCCATCAGTCACTGCAGAGTTGCACAACAGCAGCTGGAGGTAGAGAAGAGGAGGAGGAAGACAACAGGAGGCAGGAGTATGAGGGAGAATATCAACAGCAAGAAAACGTGACTTTTAAAAGGTGTGGGGCAGTGAACGCTGCAGACCACGGAGGCACAATTAGCATGGGTTTTATTGATGCTCCTCCTATTCAGTCTTCCTGCTTCCTGCACCTCAACTATCCCTGATTTATTGCTCTGTTTGCAGCCCCTTCATTAAGTTAATTTGAGCTTTCTTCTTTTGCAATTCTTATGCTGATTCCTCCATTTCCTCCACCTGGCATCACTTCTCTCCATCCAGCCCAGCCCATCCCTCCCTACACTCCTATTCTTGTTGTGCAACAATGTGGTGAACTGTAAGTGCATCTCCTTGCATACTAATGAGGATAAAAGTTGCCAGCCAAACAGCAATGCCTTTACTCTCTCCCTCTCTTTTTTTTTCCTGTCTAAAAGATGAAGCTTCTGAGGGCACAGAGGTTAAAATAAAATACCCATAAACCTTCTCTGTTCATTTCTCAGCCTCGTTTTTAATGACAGGGAAGCTTCCAGAAAGCGGTCATCATTGGCTGGTGTGTGGCTGTGGAATAGCCCTGCCCCCTTCAACCCTCGCTCCTGCTCTGAAGCTTTCCAGGAATACTCTGGTGGACCGCAATGCACAAACACACACAGACACACACACAGTATATCAAGGCTCCAGGAACCTGAGTGCATGTATAAGAAGAGAGGCCAGCTTTAGAGTCTCCAAGTTTCCCAGCACTGACAGAGGTGATACTGACAGAAACCACACAACTCCCTACTTCAGTGCCAAAAAAGTCTTACGAAACCACTACCATGTTTGTATTATGCAATTTAATGTACATAGGGTTTTGCTGCCAAGAACCAAACACATGCTGTTTTTCTTTCCAACACAAGTGGGCACACTCCACTTTGTGTTTACGCACACAAAAACAGCACAGCAGAGGTATATGTGAGCTGGGGCCGAGCCAAGCGGTGTGGTATGAAAGAGCCTATATATACACAGCCAGGCTGGGTGACGCCAGGAGGCGGTCGGTCTTTCTGTGTGTGTCTGTCTTTCACATCGTGGCCTGAAACAGAAGCAAGAGAACTGCTTGTCCACCTTTTTGGGCTTCTGCCACCAGGATGGGTAGCACCACAAAGCCTGTGAAGATAGATTCATGAGGGGCAGATGTGACACAGTAAATTAAAAGACAGTGGTGATTTTATTTTCTCAGGATGGTGGGACTTTGGTGCCACCTGCTGTTAAAAAGAAATAATGTACTGCTCAAGCGAAAGTAAACGCTTTCTCATTATTCCTGTGGCACGCATGAGCTGAGAAACAGTCATGAGAGAAAGACAGCAAAAAGGGGAGGAAAGCTGCAGGAAGAGGCGCGGGCCGCCGCTGATGTCCTGACGACTGGTATGCTGTCTGGTATTGCTGGCATGTGAATAAAGGCTTTGAATTAGAGATAAAGGGAAAAAGAGAAGACAGATGACGGAGGAAGGCTATGTCAAGAAGATCCGGGCTCTCAGTGTCATGGTATTGCTGATATGTGAAAGGCAGGACGTTATGACATGAATGACAGGAGCCAATGAGAAGCAAGGACTCTGCAGAAGACGTTTGCAGGTTAAAAAAAATGGTTACACACTGATGGGAATAAACTACAGATTAGAGGAAACAATGAGGACTTGAACCGCCCACTTTGTGTGTGTGTTTTAGGGGGGAAAACAGAGCATGCCTCAGCACAAATAAGAACAGAACTAGTGATCCCAATCAGCCTCAGGCTGGTGGTGTACTGGTATCACTGGTTTAAAACTGCAGCTGCTTGGTACAGTCATGTGATACTGGACTGCATCGAGCCTGGTGCACACTGGGAAGGCCTGCAAGCCATGATTATGCAACAACAAGATCTGATTTCATGCCCACTGGATCTCTCCTCTCCTTCCGTTATCTCAACTCGTACTTTATCTACATTTATCCTGCAACCAGAGTATCTTCATCGCTTTTCTCAGTCTTCAACACACATGAGACTGAGCATATTCCACCGTCTGGTGGAAAATAGTGACTTTATATGACCTGCTAAAATCAATGATTAAGCAAATGAAGTTACCCAACTCCTAGCAGGTAATCATTTTTTATCCACAGACATGTTCCTTTCTGGTGAAAAGTCATGTAACCTGTAGATGTGCTGCCCTCTTGTGGCATTAAAAAACAGCTTAAAACCACATTCTATGGACATCACTATAAGTTCTTAGTCTTTTCTCTTAGAAAAGAGAGCCACAGCTGTGCTTTACTTCCTATGATTGTAGAAAGAGAAAAATGGAGCCTGGCCAACTGGTCGGACCAGCTAAGGATGGTCTAGACGATAACAGATATAGAGGAGCATGAACTCAAGCTGTAACATCTGAACTTGAAGACAAAACATAAACGTCCTTGTTAGAGGGTTCTTTCACTCACATTTAAATAACATTCAAGGCTATTTTTACTTATCTCACATTTTACATCACAAAAAGAGGCAGTCATCTGTGCAGTCAACTCGCACGCCATACCTTTCCAGACCATACATACTGGTGTGGCTGTTAAATCTGGGACCAGATCAATGCAGGACTCCATCAGAGGCTCACAATATGTGAGTGAGTGTGTTTTTGTTTTTTTTAATTAAAAAAAACATTTTAAGATTACAGTGGCAAAAACATCCTTTAAAAGTTTTTCTGCACTAAAGATTTAAAATGGATTAAAAACTTGGAAAATCTATACTACAGTACACATATAGTTTTTTAGTTATTTTTATACTTTATTGCAACATCGATTAGTTTTATTTATTTATTTTTATTGACAGCAGGCTCTATATGAATGCCCTAATTGTTGCCGTTATGGCCTCTTGTCCCCTTATTAATTTCACTGCAATACTGAACTTCATTATTTTCATTCTCTACTTAAAACATAATGCACAGCAACTGCATCACTAAGCTTCATGCAAACATTTTGTGTACATCACGCTGGTTTGTACAGTGTTAACTATTGGACAGTGACCCTTTGTGACCAAACACTGAGCTGTCTAATACGAATGAGGCTGTGTGTAACTTAGACTCAAATTCCAGAAATAATTTATTCAACCGCGGGGTTGTGTGAAAATGCCACAGAAAGTGTTTGCTGAGCAAATGGAGCATCTCTAGTTTAGCCCCAAACAGCTCTATGCTAATGCCGAAAAAACTCCTTCCCCAGGAAACTGAGCCCGACACTGGAAACCCACTGAAACACTGACAGTGCTGAAGTATGTAGCCCACACCTGACAGTGGTTATGCAACAGCTGGCATGTGTTTTTGTATGAAGACTAGCATTGTCCAGGTTGCAGCTACTGTGCAGTCTGTGGAGACCAGTGACCAAACGCCTCTGTGCAAACTGCTCACCTTTTAGCTGTTGGGCGATCGTGGCTCAAGAGTTGGCAGTTTGTCTTGTAATTAGAAGGTTTCCGGTTTGAGCCCCGGCTCAGACAGTCTCGGTCGTTGTGTCCTTGGGCAAGACACTTCACCCGTTGCCTACTGGTGGTGGTCAGAGGGCCCGGTGGCGCCAGTGTCCGGCAGCCTCGCCTCTGTCAGTGCGCCCCAGGGCAGCTGTGGCTACAATGTAGCTGCCATCACCAGTGTGTGAATGTGTGTGTGAATGGGTGGATGACTGAACGTGTAAAGCGCTATACAAATACAGGCCATTTAC